TCCTACCCCTCGCTCTTCCGTCCCTTTCATCATTCACTCGTTCATTCGTTTGTTTCAGCAATTTACTTTCCTCTCCACCTCCAACCACCCCCCTCCCCCCCTCCCCCCCCCTCTTATGCACAACAGAGTTCGAAGTTTTGAGTTTTGAATGGTGGGAACAAAGGTGTGGAGAAAAGATGTTCAATTTTGAAAACTGAAAATTTGAGCTCTGCAAACATTTTCAATTTGGTAGAGGTTTCAACGTTCGACGTTCAAGGTTCAAAGTGCAAATTTCAAACACCCTTGCATCTGGTCTTTTCACAGAATGTTGGCCTTTCCTGAAATTTGCAGCGATCGGATTCGCTGTGTCCTTATCTACCACTCCCAGGCCCCCTCCCAAAAAAAGAAAAGGAAGAAAATAGAACAGTAGGCTCTCAAGCATAGGTGGGGGAAAAGAGATTCCCTGCGGAGTTTGACTCTCTGGCTGGAGTCTGTGAAATGAATTAAGTTCAATTACCTTCAGTTAGAGAATTAAGAAGAGTCTACAAGGAAAGGAAAAACGAAAAGAAGAAGAAGAAGAAGAAGAAGAAGAAGAAGAAGAAGAGTCTATAAGAGAAATAAGAAAATAAGTTTTAAAATTTAAATAATAAGAATCTTATCATGGGAGCAGTACAGTGCAAGAGTGAAGTACCACTACTTTTAAGTTTTAACTTTCAAAGGCTTTTTCTTCAGTTTTTTTTTGTTTTTTTTTTCAAAGCTTTTTATTTTTTGTTCACAATGCGTGGACTGTTCTATTATGCATAGACAATAACATTGTGTGATGGCATGCATGTATACCTGCTGAATGGTGAACACGGTGCCGTCTTGACTCATCGGTTTTTCCCACAAAGCAACAAACAATTCCGTACACACCGGCTCTGAAGCACCAGAAATCACAAAACTGGTCAATCATTCCATGTACTAATTTTATGAAATTTATAACAGAAGATCACTGTATTCTTTCAGTAATTTTTCTGACAAAAGATGATAATGATATCCCACATTTCCCGAACAGAAACGTTAAGAGGCTTGTGTGTGTGAGTGTGTGTGTGTGTGTGTGTGTGTGTGTGTGTGTGTGTGTGTGTGTGTGTGTGTGTGTGTGTGTGTGTGTGTGTGTGTGTGT